AAGTTTCTTATAATAAACATTGGCAAATGATTATGTTTAAAAAAGAAACGATTATGGAACAAAATTTTTATGACAGATAGAAGATGGGAAGGGACGGGACAGGTCAGGACGAGACGGAAAGGAACAGGACGGGTTTCCATTCTAAACTACACATAAAACAATTCAAACTAAATCCAAACCCAAATCCGATTGAACATCTCTAAGCAAACAGTTAGAAATGTTTTGATTAGTTTAAAAAATAAACACGTAATATCACTTATCATTTTCATATAAGAAATGTTAAAATTGTAATTTTAAAATTTTATCATGTAATACAATATCTATATTTTACAACTGTATGTCTATATATAGTTTATCAAATAAACTCATATAACAAAATTTTACCGAAATAACATCTACTTAAAAAATCGTAATTTTGTAAAAATAACTCCGCACGTACGTGCGGGTCCATCACTAGTTTTACTTAAACGATACAAAAAATAGATGTACTAAAGTATTATTGATAATGGTATAGCACGTATCATGTGATGGAACGTGTTAGAATTTACATAATTGTGAGTATATATCTTTTTACGGGTTGTCTACTATAAGTATAACTCACAAAATATTTTAATATGAAATTATACAATGTAAACGAATATTATGTCAATATCATTTTATTATTTCAAATATTATACTTATTTAATTAATTTGATCAAATTACGATTATATATATAAAAAATTATCATATAATACTCTACGGGTTAAATCATAGAATTATCAACCCAAAATATATAAAAGAATAGCAAACAAAATTAATAAAAGAATACATTTTAAAATGTCATTTCGCGGTATACGGCGGCTTAAAATCTAGTTTAGTAAAATTTTAGCTATAGATATCTACTTTCGATTTTTGTATGTTTCCACATTCATTGCCAGCTTCACCAATCCGAAGACTAAATCAAAAAAAAAATTTATCAAAAAAAAAGAAAAAAGTATTTTGTCTTTACACATGGGTTTCGTCCTCTCTATAACATATTTGTCTCCTCGCCTTTTCGATTGGCTGTTGACTTGAGGAGTGAGGACTTCTACAATGAGTTCACACATGAATTACGTGGAATTCATTATTGAGTAAACATGTTATTTGTCCTTTCTAATCTTATTAATGGTCTTCTTCGAAATTAGTTATTGAGCTACTTGATCAATTTGGAAATAGAAAATGAACTTTATTCGCGGTTACATCTCGGTGCAGTCCATTTTTAAAAATTTATTTTATACAACTAGTGTTCACTGATGAGTTAAGATCCTTAGTCTTTCTTTATTACATTTCTATCAAGAACTGTTAAATTATTTGTTATTGACAAAACAATGTTTTTAACAATTCTCCACAATTTATAGAATCTGAGTCAAAATTAAGATCTTTAACTACTTTGAGTTGTCAGGTTTTAACGTGAAAACGTCGTCAATTTGTTCTGTTTCCCCAATAGACAGAACAAAACTGAATAAGAAGAAGTTAATTGGACGAAAAAGCCATGATGAGATGAGACTAACATATGTGAGTGAGCTTTTCATATTTACAAGTTAGGATGTGTAAGCAAACAAACGGCTTTGGTGTCTCATGATGAAGTAACTTCCCAAATATATCGGTTAACTAAAAACCGGTTCGATATGTCAACATCATAAGTGCATACCGATCATAAACCAGCATTTTCCACTCGCATAATTAGTATTAGATAAATCTTAGGATCCTCTCACTGTCATAATTAGTATTTTTACTTGATTAGCACTAAAACATATTCGTCTCCTTACCTTTCGATTGGCTGTTGACTGATGGACACACTCGACTTCTACAAGGAGTCACACTAGAATTAGGAACTATTGGAGATTCGAAGAGGGACGTACGTAGACGGTGATTGAATGGAGGATCAAACTCTCGGTGATATTTGAGAATCAAGATTGTAAGTCAGATTGATCTGGGATGATATATATAAATCAAAACAACAAAATATTAAATAATTTACAAAATGGAAAGATTAACATCTGAATCCAAAACAAAAGTTGTATCATGGAGATAACTCTTGTCAAAAGAAAAAGAAAAAAAAAAAACAAAGAGATAACTTAAACAATGTCACGGGCGCATTTCAAAGAACAAGCTATGCGATTGTCTCTCGTAAATATTTTGCCTTGACAACGAGTTTTGCATAAATCACAAAATGGTCGAGAAGGATTACCTTTCTCAAGAATTTGGAACTCTTTCCTATTCCAATCTAAAAACCGACCAAGTTTCATATATAGGAGTTCCCCAAACAAGCATTCAATATGAAGAGTTGTGCAGCAGTCGTTGCACCAATAGAACACTTTTGTGTCTGTATCTCCTAAGTTCCGTTCACACACCTCGCACCAATCTTTTTCGCATACCTCTTCTCCCCACAAAATCGTGAGAGAGTGTGTGTCATGCTTATATTTTACTTTATATGGTAACGTAGCACACTTGAGACATACAATAAAATCGCATTTGATGCAATTTAATGGTGTATGACTCTTTGATTTGCACACATGACATATCGGCTTTTCTCCGGGCCCCAAAGCTAGGAACAAGGGATGTTTATGACCTTGGAAGTTAAACGGTTCACAAACTGAAGCACATCGTACGTCAAGATCGAAGTTGCATTCCTTTCTCGGACACATATAGACAAAGCCACCACAGTATCGATCACAAGCATTGCACCTGAAGCCATCCGTATCATATTTACTCTTGTCACTCAAAGTAAGTGGATGAGGATGTAATGCATGTTGTATCCTGCGGCGATCTTTTGCACAGATTTCGTGGATCACGAAGTCACATTCAACACAAGAGTAACGATAACCTTCAACAATAGGCAGAACACACGATTCACAAAACTTTTTTTCATCATAAATTATTCTAACCTCGAGCCGAAGGTGGTGGTCATGCAGAAAATGAAGTATCACTCCTTCAGATATGATCTCGAACGGCCCAACATCTTGTGAAATATCATCTTCTTCTGGTATACTTTCGAGTTCAACTCCATCCCACACATCTTTCCGTAGAGCACATTTTACGTGAACAGCATAATCATCACACTTGTCACACATATATGCACCATAATCAGCGTTAATATTTTTACGGCAAACTCCACAAGACCATTCTTCATACTGGAGGGAAGAAGTATAGGAGACGCGATGGTGGTGACGGGATATCTTGATGATGGATGGAGAATACATACAATCGTTATGAGCAACAAATCTGCATCTGAAACATACGTAGGTGGGATAGTTTTTTCTGATTAGACCACAAATGTTGCAAGTTAAGGAAGCTTGTTCTGGAAAAAGAGTGAGGGGATGGTCATGACGCTTTGGCTGGTCTACAACAAAAGATATCGACTTCATGGCACATATTGGATGCATTACAGCTTCACATTTGGTACAAGAGTGTACCATATCAATTGCTCCTCTTCCACAACAAAAACACTCTATATCCGGAGCATCAGACTTGCGATAAGAAAGCTGGAGAGAGTGCTCCGGATGATAAGGGTGTTTGATTATAAATGGAGACTCGACGCATTCTTTGTGGTATATTCCATCACAGAGCTCACAAAAATAATAGTCTATTCCAAAATTCGAGTCGCTGCATATATGGCACCCACCATTAGCATCAAATTCTTTATTGTTGCACCAATACAAAGGGAGTATTGAATGATCTTTATACCGCTGATGACTTCTTGTTGTAGAGATGTCATATTCGAGAGAATAACTGACTGGGAAAACAAGAGAATCGGAGTATACATTCCCAACTCGTGGATAAGGGCATAAAAAAAGTGGTTGATTGTTGCTGTCTGCTTCATCGGAAGAGGTTGGGCTTTGTGTTTGTGGTATGGGCTGGTATTTTGGGTGATGGTACACCAGCTGTGATAGTTTACCATCGATTTCCACCTCATGAAATCCGCCGATGAGTATTGACTTCATCGCACAAATTGTATGCATTACAACATCACATATGGTACAATAATATACCAGATTGGTTGCTATTCTTCCACAACATAAACTCTTCTTATTGGGAGCACGAGGATGACGGTAGGAAAGTTGGAGAAAATGCTCTTCATGGTAAGGGTGTTGGATTTTAGATGGAGATTGGACGCATTCTTTGTGGAATATTCTATCACATTTGACACAGAAATAATAGTCTGTGCCAAAATTTGAGCCGCTGCATATCTGGCAACCACTATCGTCATCGTATTCTTTGTTGTTACACCAAAACAAAGGGAGTAATGAATGATCTTCTTCACTTGTGGTTGTAGAGCCTACGTATTCGGGTGAATAGTTAACTGGATGATTGAGAGCATCAGGGTTTGCTTTTAAAATTCGTAGAAGAGGACATAAGAAAAGGGGTTGAAAATAGTGGTTGTGGCTGGAGGCAGCTTTACCAGAGGAGGAGGTTGGTTTATGTGATTTTGGGATGGGATTGTATTTTGGGTGATGATATACCATCTGAGATTCCACCTCATGAAATCCACCGATCGAATCCATAGTTTTTTTGGGTAATTTTGATAGTATTTTTGCTCTCTCTTTTCTTCTAGGTAGATGATTTGTTTGGCTGTGATAAATGTTCGTTTCCTGCTTCTCCCACATCTATATACACAAAAACATGAAAGTCAACTTTCCTGGCACATGGGTTTTTGTGATTAAGTTACTTAATGATTTGTATACCAAAATTATTGTGTTTACATCATATACGATTTTCAGTAAAAACAATTAATGTACAGCATTTGCTTTTATATCATAATCGTTGGATCATGCTATTTAAAATATCATTGGCATCTGTTTTTGTGATTTGTTTCTTTTTTCAAAAATTTGACAAACTTTGATGTCTAATAGAATATTCTTAGTTAAAATGCACTCAACACATCTAATTTTATCTATACTATTAGGATTTACCCCGTGGTACACCACGGGTCCATAATTTAATATATATCTTTGGTTGTTCATTTTCGTAGTTGGTTTATATAATTTAGTTTTGTATATGTTTATTTCATTTAATTTAATAAAATTTTATAAATTTGTATTATAAGTAGATTCATATATATATGTGGTAAACCCGTGGTACATCGCGACACGATTTTGTTGTAAATAAAAAATTATATTTTAACTTAACCAGTAAAAGATTTTAAATATAGACAACCCGTAGAAAATATAATAATATTTATGTAAACTAAAACCCGTTCAATCATATTTATGTACAATATTATTATATTTTAAATATTTGTAGAGTTAAAATATTAATAATAATTTTAATTTTTGTAGAGTTTAAATATTTTTCATTATTTTAATATTCTATAAAACTTAAATAAAATATCATAATTTTCAGCTTTTTAAAGTTTTAATATTTATCAAATTTTAAACTTGTTAAAACATCAAAATTTATAATATTCTGAAACTTTTTAAAAATTTTATTTTCCTTAAATAAAGAACCGGATTAAGCTAATAAAAATTTTAATTTGGATAATTGAGAAATCAAAGTTGATGCTTAGTTGTAACATATTATTCTTATTTATAAAGTGTTTGAACTATTATCTAAAATTTTCTATCTTATGTAGACGTTGTACATATATTTTTTCCTTTATTGATTTAGTCAACTACGTCTGTTTTCAAAAATTTAAATTGCAAAATGTGTGGAAAAATGTGTATTTTTATTATAAATATATTTTATGTAATAATATAAATTTAAAACAAATAAGATTATATAAATATATTGGAAAGAGATTCGATTTATTAAAGAGGGATTTTAGGAAATTTTTTGATGTAATAAATATTTGGTTTCCAATTTTGGGATTTGCTTGTGATTTAATTACCAAATTTACTTTTGTTATTTATTCAAATGGCAAGAGTTTGATTATGCAAATATTACAAAATAAAAGGTTATAAGCCAAAATAGATTTTAGTACAAAATGTACTTCAAAAATGTTAAGATAGATTAAAAGGGGAGCATTTTTTAAAGGTGTATCCAAACATATTAAATAGAAAAAATGAAATAAAATGTAATTCCAACCAGGTAGCCAAACACATTTAAAGACAGAAAAAAAAAATTTGAATAAATAAAAAATAAAAACTATCTACTATATTTATGGAAATAATATTGATTTGGTTACCATAAAAATTGGATTATTAAATTCAAAATTGAAAATATCTAAATATATTTAATTTCAGTTTTATGTCTTTTGTAAATTTTTTAGAAATAATAATTTATATTCACTAACACCTAATAAAAATGATCATACATATTAGAAAATGAAATATCATATTTTATGAAAATTAAAAAGAAAAATAATTATGTTAGATTATGAATAAGCGACTAATAAAATTGTACATAGCATAAAATGTGAAGAAATATATAACATAAATAATTACATCATTAAATTTAAAAAAATTATACAATCTTAAAAAACAATTACATTTTATGTAATCCCAAATCTATAGCCAAACCTCCTTAAAAACATATCCATCCGATAGTTTTTTTAAAAAATTTGGATCTTTAAATTTTCAAAATCTTTTGTTTCAATCTTTCCAATTAATTTCCTGCAGATTATATTTTTTTAAAAAAATACTCAATATAAGGAAAATCTATATATATATATAATAATCTACATTAATTAGCACATACGGTATATAACAGCTTAATCAATTAAACATTAACTATATTTGCGATCTTTTAAATATATAGCAATATAAAAATTCAGAATCTAAATCTTAACAGATATGATTTTAAATACTAACTATATTTTGATTTTTAAAAAATATAAATTCATATCCATGTTTACTTACCAAATGTGCACACAATAATAATTACTACCACCTGAAATATTTTCTATGCAAATATTTAATGTATTTAATAAATTTTGACCAATCATTATTATACATTATATTTTCTTATTGGTTGAATTCATTGTATTTAATGGAATTTTTATGGAAACAAAATTATATGTTTTCCTAATCTGGTGAAACAACCTTAAACATAACTTAAAATGAAACAGATGGAGTATTAAAATAGTCCATATACTGATAATCGTAAATAGGTTTAGCTTAAAAATAATATATAGTTTCACACTTACAATCGTTAGTAAATTTTTCAATAGTTTTCTATCTTTTTGATTTTTAAATTATAAACATTTTAGACAACCTCCTATTTGTCTAAAACAATTAATATTATAGATGAATATACATCATTTAAAACATATTTTAAATATTTTAATACTTCAGTTTCTATAACTTATTTTAACAAGTTTTAAAAATAATACGAACTTCCTAAAGAAAACTCAAGTCACTTTAAATTTTACTTTAGATACACCCTCTAAATTCAATTTCAATGTTCAAATATCAAATAAAAAGTATGATACATGAATATGAATTTGAATTGTTAAATTCACTTTAAACTTTCTAACTTTAATAATATATATATAAACATGAAATAGTGGGTACATGTAATTTGATACATCAAAATATCAACTAAACTATTCATGATAGAATATGGGACAAAAAATTTAGCTAACGTGAATTCAAGAAGAACATATGCGGACATACTATTTACTAATGTGGATTACAGGAAATTTGTTTTTTGCGGGTCAAATTATTTTAATCTATATTGAGTTAAAAATATTTTTAGTGTGGAGCATGCATAGTAACGTGTTTGACCCATTGAAAAATATATTTACACTATCCGAGGGCAAATGTTTTAATTTATTTTCATTGTTTAAATCATGTTTGTAGCTCACAGTTCACACTCAAACTGGATTCGCATTATTGTCGATCTGACATTCACAAATTTCATGAAAGCAAACCAATATTAGTTTATGTTATAAACGCTATAGAGAATAAATATATCTACAAATAAAACCCCACATTTATGTGTTACTTTAAATCGTTAACTTATTTTCTTATATGTTCGAAAAAATATACCATCTTAAAGAGTAAATTATTATTAAAATAGTTATGAGATGAAAAAAAATGAGTACATGACATATTAGGACGCACGGGTCATGATTTCTGTCTCGAAATATACAAACCACATTTTTTTTACTATTTGTTTTAGTGTACATCTGTCCAAAACAAAATTGTATCGTTCTTTTTTGGTTTAGAGTGATTTAAAAACAAATCAAAATATTGAACTGGTACGGGTTTTGATTATAAATATTAATATCATTCCTAAAAGTTACGTTTACAAACATACCCTGTAAGAACACAATATATTAAAAATTTAATAACAAATTTTATTTTAAAAATCAATCCCGCACGTACGTGCGAATACAAATCTAGTTGCAATTGTTTGACAATATGTATATTGTATTTTTATTAATTTTTTTTTTGTCACCAACTATGTATACTTTAAGTTGTTAAGTTTTCTAACGTATGAGGTGTGTGTGACTATAAAACTACACAGTTATATCCAAAATTTATAATAATGATGTAACAAAAGATGTGAACACAATTAATGCATTAATTGAGATCTGTTATAGTCGTGGGCATTTTAGTATTGTATTGGCTGTCCAATAACGCTGTATCAATTGATTAATTCAAGTAGAGAAGTGTTATGTCTTTAATTAAGTGAAAATAATAAGCTGTATCAATTGTTTAATTCAAGTAGAGAAGTGTTAGGTCTTTGATTAAGTAAATATAATAAGCTGCATTATTGGTCTCTGGGGATTAAAAAATTACAAATGACGATCCACTCTTCCAATAGTTGACTTTAGCTTAAGATGAAGTCCATGATTTCTGATTTACGAACTACATTGGAATTTTCTACAAAAGACGATCCATTCTACCAATAATTATGTTATATGCAACATTTATTATATATATATATATATATTTTTTTTTTTTTAAAGTTTATATTATGAACTTGTTCTCTTAAGACTTTTTTTCGCTTTGCAACACAATATTTTTTTATGTCTAAATTCACGTTTTTATGTTAATGTTCATAACTTCATATCCTAAGATGTTTTTTTTTTTTGGTCTAAAGTTTCGTTT